AATAATAATAATAATAATAATAATAATGCCGAATCTGCTTATTAGTTATTCGCAAGTAAGTGTACTAATTATTTCTTCAATTTCAAATTATATCTTAGCAACACAGTTTCAGTGCTTGTATTGTATTGGAATTGTCAAAAACTGTGTATTATTTTGAGCGGTTATTCTATGCGTAATGAAAGCACTGCATAAAGTTAGAGCTGGAGAAAGGGGAAATATCAGTGCAAACATAGTTTTTTTGTTGATTTTGACTATAGGCCCTTGCAAGGTCGCGGAACAGAAGCAGTTCGTTGTGGACGTCTAGACTCACTGGAAGCACTCTCATTACCATGATAAAAGTAGTGAAGTAGAGTTGGAGAAGGATGAGCACGCAAGGTAAACGCTACTTGCTACAGTCTGCTGAGTTTAAAAGAATGCTGATTTCTGCGGTTGGCAATAGCGTCGATGACGGCTGTCTGTGTAATTAAATACATAATGATTAGGATAAGTGAAGTTGCCCAAGCGAGCAAAGCTCCTCTTGCTTCCGCTCGCCTCATGAAGCATTCGCCTGAGGGCGGTGCGCTCCCCTTCCTCCACTGTCGAGAAAACGTCGTTTGGTTTAATGTCCTGTTGCGCGAAGTGTCGATTAGAAGCCCTGTAAACAAATTTCCGATAACTTCGAAATCAGGCACTGCTAGGCTTCAGAACCAGTTGTTGTAGGCGTACCGCTGTTTGGGTAAAGCCCAAGACTCGGTTTCTGCTCTGCACACACCACTCAATGACGATCCCGGCAAAATACACCAAATCGTTAAAGTACAACGGAATTGGGAAAACGCCAGCAATCCCAGCAAAACTTGTTGCATGAACATGCGCAGCACACTTAATCTGACCCGCTTCCCCGGTTTTCCAAGTTACCCGTCACTCGAGGAATTTCTGTCCTCTGACTCTGGAGAAGATCTTCGTTCTTGCGAAATTTTAAAACTTTGCCCTTGGGGCGCTCTGAGACGCTTAAGGGCAAAGCTTGATAATTTTATTAGTTGCAGTAACTACATTAAAGCATGGAACATGTCCTTGAACATGTGTAGGATTTTTCTGAAAGAGGTAGGCTAAGGCGAGAGAGCAGGCGCGACATCACTTAACATTAGTTTTGTTTTTTTTTTTATTGGAATTTACAACATCGTGTGTTGGAATTTACAACATCATTGCTGGAACTTTGTTTTCCTGGTATCCCTGGCAAAAATTATCGTAGATGAGCCCCTATCTTGGTTCGACCGGATATGAGAGTGGAACGAAATAATCCGCGAAAAAAATTAGATTTTTTCAGACTCTTACAAAGGCCCCGCGCCCCTCAGATCCTCCTTTCGCATCTTTCTAATGAATAAGTTGCTCACTGAGTCCGATCCTTTAGCCTTTTTAATACCTCTGCAGTCAAAATTCAGTAATTTCTTCTGACGTCAGCGCGTTACCTTGATCCACTAACTGACTCGGGATGTCCCGCGCCCTTCCAGTCCATGCATTTCATACCATTAGTAGTCAATGGACAGTCTAACAGCGGTTTTTGTCGATTGCACTTTCGCTGTAGTTCTCGATTTCGTTTTCAATTCGTCACTATACTCGCTAAATTGTTCATTAGGTTTTAATAAATAATTCAGACATGGACAGCCTCTGGTGAAACGCAGACCTGATTTATATACTTAAGCTAGCGCGCTCCTTTTAATAAGACCCAGGTAACAACGCACCAGGCTCGCTCGTGCGGCCATGTGTTTTTGCGTTAAATATGGCGCAGTCACATTGTTAATAGTATAATGGTTGTTGTTTCACGGTTTGATAAGTGCAACTCATGTGCCTGTGTTTTGGTCCTTTCTTGCATGCGGAGAAAGAGGGCGACGGTAGTGTTGCATCATGGCTTTCCCCGCTACTGATTTGAAATTGGGTGACAAGTTCACTCACTTCTGAACACACGCACACAGACATGCCCGCGACATTATGCTTTTTTGCATTTGCAGAAGTCAAATAAATGCAGATAGGTTTTTATCACGTCGTTCATTCAGTAAAAAAAAAAAAAAAGTAAGCGACAGCCGGTTAATGTGAGCTGGGCTTGAACTTTTGACAGGATTGTTGAAATCTGGATTTATATCATAGAGTTTTAAAGCATATTTCGGATTGTCGTCTGTGAGTCTCTTGCGCATTTTAGTTTTATTTTCACAAGAGTACAGAGGCGTGGTGGAGTACAACCCTCTCACCTTCGTCTAGTTAGGCACCACCTTCCGATTCCCTCCGCGGGCTGCCGGTTGCCCACATGTGAAATAGACACTGATACATTCATGGGAAGTGTCGGCGTATCAAAGGCAGGTACACAGTCGCATCTCACCTACTTGGAAATTTCGCAAAGTTGCAATGTCTTAATGCGTTTCAACGTTTGCGGAGTGGGCTTGGCGCAAGAGGGATGATATTCTACCAAATTTTTTACAAATCGTTGGGACAAATTCATCTTTTGCATCGTGAGCTGTTATCACAGACGAAAAATCACTGCAGATGCCTTTTCTGCGAATAATGCATGGGGAAAGCTGAGAAATCGATGCGCCGGGAGCTGCCGAGGCATTGCGCCACGGCTTTAAAACTTTTTTCATGTCCAAGGTTGTGGTTAGAGTTAGGTTGTGTGGGGCATCGATGACAGACAACACGTCGCAGATTAGTTAGCGCAGCCACAAGCCAGCAAAGCCCCTGCTGTAAGCAGTGTTGAAGCTAGGCTAGGCCACTAGACACATGCTAAGCCTGGCCGTGTCGCTTTTCTTCCCTGCTGCTACCGCTATTGACTTGCTGTAGCTGAAAGCTTACTGATCCAGTTCCTCTCGCCCCTCTCACTTTTTTACATTCCAGCTTCATGCTGAGTAAGATTATCCGGGCATCATCACATACACCAGGTTTTTCTTCACCTTTGAGCTTTGCCACGCACAGAAAAAATCACGGGTTTTTGTTACTTTTTTTAGTTTAAAATTTTAGGAAAAAAGCATAACCTCTTTTATCTGGTTTGGTTAGCGGAATTTTTTTGAGATTCAGTTTCTGGGGGCTTTCAAAAAAATTGCAAAAATGTGTTTTCTAGAATTCCTTTTCCAGAGAAAGAGGAGACTGAACAAAAGTATCTTAACGTTCCCGAAAATCAATAAATTAATGCCGGGATTCAAAGCCTCAAATTCACAGTTCCATCCGCTGCACTAAATTGAAGGAGCATGAAATGAGGGAATTATACACTGGAATCTTTTATCAACGATTCTGACGTTTGATAACAGTAACTACTGATAAATTCCGTTTGCTAACAAGCTGTCACTGTGCGAATGAGAGATATTGCTTGCTAATGCATCGAGCTGTAAAGCGAAATGAGACATTTATACACCCTGTTAGATAAGTTCACACGTAACCAAAAATTCATACATAACTTCAGTGACTTGACCATCAGGGACGAACTTCCGAAAATAAGGACATCTGAAAATGGGAGACAAAGAGGAATCAGTTACGGAAAGATCCTTCCTTCGCAGTCGATTAGATCAACATACTTTTAATCATCGAATCTGCCTATGCTCGAAAGCAGCAGAAACAGTGGAACTGTCGCAACACCTTGTCCTTGCACAGGAAATTCCTTCTAAAAAATCACTTTAGAAAAAAGGTTGGGGAAGTGCGTGCCTGGACAGTACTCTATGTAATCGTTACTGACCGATGGCCGAAGTGGACAGTTCAAATCACAGATACAGGACAGTCACCTGGTTTTCCAGTGGGGAACTAGTCTAGCAGCTGCTGAAGTAAGAAATAATAGAAGCCTTACTACGGGAGCACTGTGCAGTGTTCCATGGTTTAGAAGTGTCGGCCAGTCTTAGCAATTTATGACATTTTTTAAATAAATTTAAATCTTCCTCCAGAAGCTGATTTTTTTAAGCTTTTTTCAAGCCGAGCAAGCAAAAAATCAGCGTCCGATACAATCTGAAGAGCATTTGTCACCGCGACTCGCTATTATGTCAATTTTGATTTAAAACTATTTTTTAAATATGAATGCATTTGTATTTTTTGTTCTTTGTTTCGGTATTCCTGACGATTTTTTGAAAGTTCAAAAAAATGAGGTAAAAAATTTCATAGAGCTAGGAGCTGAAGTAGTAAATTGCAAATTATTATCGAAAAATTCAAAGGAACCTTTTCTTGGCTATTGATTCTGCTGTACAGCTTTGCGATCACTGGATCAGCTTCTAGCTTTTCTTGGCCTTTCATCATCCAGAACTTCTCCACTCTCAGTGCTGTTGTCGTAACTGAGTTCGTGGCCCAACAGACGCAGCCGGAAAAATTAATTCCATATAAAAATAAGTAGTTTTATTTAGTTTAGATGATTGCCTAAGCAGTTAGATCCGATAACGATCCGGGACTTGAATCAAAAAAGGCGTGGCTTGATGAGGAACTAGTTGGATTACAAAGAAAATAAATGAGTTGAATGTGACTGATTTGTCTTTCGCTTAAAAGTTAATTTGTTTGTAACTGAGATCGTTTCAGGATGAGCGACACGGCTCAGGCTTTATTCAAGGAGATTGCCCCTGCACATCGTACTCCACATGCTAAGGTTACTGTGGTCGGTTGTGGTCAGGTTGGCATGGCTTGCGTCGTTAGCATCATGCAGAAGGTTGGTGCAGCAACTAGCACTCATCCTATTCAGATTTTGAAAAGTAGCATTAGTCCAGAAATACTTAAGAATAAACCTGAAATGGAATGTGTGCATGTGTATATGTATGTGCTGTCTAAGATTTGTTCTGCAAAAACTTAGAAATTAAAGTTGAATGTAAATGATGAGTTATTGGTTAATTTCCAGCAGCGTCACTAAGTTCCAAATGCCGGTAGCTGAGGCGGTGTATATACATAATTTTGATATATATATATGCGCATATGTTTATATATGTATATATGTTGTATATAAACATATATATAATACGCTAGTAAGCATATGTATATATATATACATATATATATGTGTATATATATGTATATATATTTACTAGCGTTTTTTTATGTAAGAGAATTTGTTTGTCTTTTATGAAGTTTAATGATGTGTAAAATTTTGCACGCTTGAAAACGTGATGTAATGCAAACACCGATAAACATTGAGTAATAGCCAAACACTTTCGTTATTTTTAGAAGAGGAAACAGAATGGCGTGGGGCGACCGAGAGGACCATCCCTATCCTTCAAGAGTAGCAAAGGAAGTCGGAGTGATAGGAAGTGACAACAGCAATCACACATTTGATTTGTCGATGACTCCCCAACTCGTGAAGTGTGGCGAATTCGACCTTTCCGACATGAGCCAGCACCATTTTACCACTGAAACGGATGAACAAGTCGAGGAAGAGCTGGTTTCCTACTGGCTCACTAAACGTTTAACCTTCTGCATAAAAGTAGTCCTATTCCCACTGCGCAATATTCATCAAGCGGATGTGACGCAGCGACGAAAGGTTGCTCCTGTACAGGGATTCAAATGCGCTAATAGGACAACCAGTCCCTCTACGATTCGTGCATTGGTTTCGATAGTAAATCGATACAAGTGCATGCCGGGAAGTAAATCGGCTATCAATATGTTTGTTAAGCACTCTAGAATTAGGGAGTCATCGACAGCCTAGTTGCGTATGATTGTTGGTGGCATTCTTTATCCACTTGGGCTACTGGCCAATGGTTCAGCCCGTTGTAGAGTGCGAATATGAACAGAGTTTTTGACTTTTGATTTAACCGATTTGACAACGAAAGCGCTTAGCTTTCAGTAATTAAGTTCAAGAACTTCCCGCTTTGCTTGTGTCTTCCATAATGCACCCCTTTCCAAAAATTCTGTCACAAGGACGAGTGACAATGTAACGCTTCTGTGTCGTAAAGTTGGAATGTCGTCGATACGACAAACCTTTTTCTGTAATCCATTCATTTCTTTAGCAAACTGACTGCCTCTTGCCTGACAACTGTGATTGCAGTCAACTTATTCCCAGAAAAACCTTCTGATGATGGAGCGAAGAAATTTCCTGCCAGTGGTTGATGTTAGCATGTGCCATTTCACTCAGACTACCGTCCCACATAAAAGGTGGCGTTGCAGGAGATTTTAGCTTTTGATATTAGCTTCAGGAATGTTTGGTTTCGGTAGGAAATTTCAGGAAGTGTAGATGATGTTTAAACCGCTGCAAAAGAAGTGGAAGTGGATTTGTTCGGAAAATTCGGGTGAAAATTGCCGAATTTGCCGGACTTTTCCAGATATTGCTCGAGCCGACTGAAATTCACTCGCTTACTCTTATCCTGACTTTTTACAGAACATCGCCAGCGAGATATGTTTGGTGGACGTCGTGGCAGACAAACTAAAAGGCGAAATGATGGATTTGCAGCACGGCGTCCCGTTCATGCATCCATGCATTATCCGTGCTTCGCCTGGTTTCCACTTTTTCTTTCATGCCTTTAGGCACTTTCTTCACACACTCGACTTCTGTCAAAACAACTAACACGAAGAACTAATTTGTAATTCTCTTGCCATGCAGGTATTAATTTTAGACTATGCGATCACCAAAGGGTCAAAACTGTGCGTTGTCACAGCTGGCGTGCGACAGCGTGAAGGGGAAAGTCGCCTTTCACTTGTGCAGCGCAATGTCGAAATTTTTAAAGGCATTATTCCAAAACTGGTCCAGCATTCTCCAGACACCATGCTTCTAATTGTGTCTAACCCAGGTTAGATTTTTTGCTCGGACATTTTTCCAGGTCAGTCATTGTTGTCCTCCAAATGGATTAAGTGTTGCAAAATTTGTGTATATCTTTTCTGGCGCATTAGCCTTGCAAATATTTCTAGATGCGAGCATTACCCGTTTTGGATGAGATACATGACAGATAAGTCCATGTGGTAAAAGAAATGCTGTGCTCATCTGAAAATTATGCAGCGGAGCATATGCATTCTGAATTCATGCAGTTGACTTTCTAGTGCTCTTTTCTCCTCCGTGCGCTTATTGTGTTTTGCGCTAGTAGGCCTGATGTGATACTGGACTCAGTCCACTGAAAGGAATCTGGAGGGAGAAAATTCAGGCCTCAACAATTTATTGAGACGCGAATTGGTACTGACGCATGCCAGGAGTCAAAACGCTTCTAAGGTGCTCTTTTCTGGCAGATGTTTATTTGAAGCAAGGTGCTATCATTTTGCTTACTTTGGAGTCATTTTTTATCCTATGAAATAAGGAAAAATTGATTTTATATTTATTTTACTTTTTTATGCTTACTCACCACTGCTGGCCCTTTTACAGGCCACCCCCAGTCGTACGACCGGAGGCCCTTCTAC